ACACCAAAATCATTTGATGTTCCTGGTCAAGTTGTCATAAGCTGTGAGGTTTTTAGTGTCATCCACATTGAGCATAACATGATCTTTGGCGTATCAGATTGGTACAAATTGCCACTTTACATGAATGAGTGCATGAGAGGACTCGATTTGAGATGGTGAAAGTCATGGACGGGTTTTATACATCTGTACGTCCAATGATCGCGAACTTGCACTGTTTTGCAGTTGAGATCGTTTTCGCTGGGTTAACGATGTACGTGTACGATTCCGATCATAGTTGTACCACGCAGGGCCAAATCGAGCATATACTGGAGCTAATGGCGACCATTGTTCCTATGATGGCTAGAGTACCAGACATTGCAGTACATGATAGATTAGCTGTCGTGAAGAAGATGACGACTAGAAGACAAACAAAATCGTACTTTTCTTTTTATGTTAAATTATGATAAATATATTGTAATTTGGACTTACGTATTATTACTTATGTACTTGGGTGATTGTGGAGTTTTCGCAATCAAGTACACTGAATTTTTGAGGATCGGACGTGGCGTAAAGTTGATAAACCAAACACGCATTGATAATTGGAAGATGAAGCTAGCATCCGACTTGTATGCATATAATTGTGATATGCAGTATATTGTTTTAATTTTTTTTTTTTGAAAACGTAAACATTGTTTATAATTGTGAATATATTTAGTTGTACTTTAAAAAAATTTAATTGTGATTATTTTTAATATAATTGTATATTTAATCTGTAAGAATGTGAACATCAAAGTACGAGGATTTAATTACAATTTTTTAATAGTTGATGAAAAAATAAAAAAACGACGATCGAAAGATGACGAAAATCATTAAAGTACTATAAATAGAGATTACACACGATTTAAATAGATATTACACATCCGTCGAATTATTATGTAATGAGATCTGATTTATACAAAATTAGCGAGCATGTCATGTTGTGCCGCACCTTTTGCACCTATGTGGTAAAAAAAAACTATATGGTAGATGATATTCTAGATGTACATCTACATTCAGAAGTATGTGGTCGAACTTCAAGTGCCAACAAATTATTAAGTGGAAGAATGTGGTTGTGAACTTTTCACTCGACTTCATTTGGTAGAAAAAAAATATAGTTCGGCATATGCTGCCTTTCAATAATCATCCATATAATAATGAGTGCATAAGCTGTGTGATGAAAATTCTCCATACATAGCCATTGTAATTGCATGCGCACATGAAAAAATCTCCAACTAAAATTATTTACACGTGCAGGTATTAGCATTCAAATCCTTGATGTATCCTATTAAGTCCACATCCTACGGAGAAGCGAAATTAATTCAATGCTTCCACACCGAGCTTTCTCGCCACCTCTAGAGTTTTGACGAGTTTATCTTCTTAAGCATGTGTTAGCACACTTGCACGATTCTGTAATTCCTCATATCAGTCATAAAAATACTGATGCAACTTGTTACAAATGCGGTCAATCATTGCGAGAATTGGTAACTCTTGATCCTTCTTAAACAGTGCATTGAGCGGCTCCGCATTGTTTGACGTCATCATGAAGTATCGACGTCCCGGAAAATGTGACTGTGCCCAATATTCGATCCACATCTCTGTTACATAATCTCATACATCGTGTGATTTATTTTCTATTTCAACCATGAACTTACCAAACTTTTGAAACTGTGAGCCTATGCAGCTCTCCTAAACAATGCAACAATACCACTACCCCGCTACTTAATCTTCAGGTTGTCCTGTATATGGTACATGCAATAATCATGATGTGCCATAGGAAAAATTTTGACGATACCATTTATCGTCGACAGCCTCCGATCAATCACAAATGTAAGGTTCTAGATGCCCCCAATTACTTTCATCAACTTCGTGAAGAACCAACACATCTTTAGACCATTCTCACCATCGACTATGCAAAATGCAAGATGGTAAGTTTGATGTTGATGTCTTGACGTGTAACAATAATCAACTTCTCTTCGTATCTAGCTTTCAGAATTAGGAGTCGCATCATATTTTGAAATCCTCGAATACATTGTCCAAGATTCATAAAGAAATACTTGAAACGATTCTCTCCATCGTCTCAATTAAAAATGCCGAGTCAGGATTAGTTATCCCCATATTATGGCAATACCTAACCAATTTAGCTCATGTTTGGTACACATTCTTTCAAAATACATTTTTTTCAAAACTCATTTTCAACCACAAATTCTTCAATAAAATAATATTTTCCATCACATCAATAAATTTTTCTTCCTTTTTAATCACATATTTCTCATTATATCACTATTTTAAATACATTCGTTTCTCAATAATATCCGTAAAACACTCCCTTAGTATAACTCTCCTCGGTTGAACCCATTAAATATTCCAATACACATTCTTTAGCATTCCGGGTCTTCTGATAGCTTATGACCACACCATACTCTTGACGGATATTGTTGATAATGTCTGCAGGTCTATAAATTGTGGATCTTGAAATTCGTGCATTATTTGTTGACTAATAAACCATTAGCGAGCTCGCTTGTGATTATTTTGACGAATACCCACTTCACAAGTATATTCTCGTGCATACTCAGGAACTACAAATAACTCATTGGTGTCTATTTTGTCTCTCACAAACGCCAACAACAATTGTTTTCCACACAAATAATTGTGCATGTACACTTGTTTGATTTCTTTACTTTAAACTTAAAGTTATGTTTCATTGCAATCCGGTGCACATCTTCCAGCAAATCTCTCTTCGTGTCAAACAGTTGATCAATGTGCAAATCTTCATCATCAAAAACCACATGCAACAATTAGAAGACCGTGTACTCGACCCAGCCTACGAACTCCCACCTCACTCATGTCTGTATCTGGATAAAGCAATCAAATCATGATTTGTAAATCACCTTTCATCCTCGTTGTTTTGAACTACCTCGTGAATTCTGTGCGTAACAGTGAGATTGTAGTGAGTAGAAACTGTCTCGAGGATAACCACATCATTATTACGAGCTATCTCCAATGTATTTCAAAAATTGTTTACATTACGCTCCCCTCTATCGAAATCTTCGTGTTCACCTCCGAGGACATTCTTCATCAATAAAGTTACGCAAACAAGAATCGACTTGTGGCATTGGTTCAATTTAATTAGCAACTTCCTTTGCACTTCAAAACTTTGATATTAATGTCGCCTTGTATTTAACATTTACAAAATAATAAGCTATGAGATAAAAATATAAACAATTTATAATATCTAACCTCTTGAAATGGTTGATGAATCCTTAACTCATGTGTTCTTGATGAAGGATGTGAAGAAGATGATTGAGATTTTAGGGTTTGTAAATGAGGTAAGATATGTGTTAATGGAAGAAGACTAAGGGGTTAGGGGTTGTTTATTTTATATTTTGTACTTCTTTTTTTTTTAAAGAAAAATACATATTATTGAATATAATATACATATATACCATCATTGTAATATCCACATTTAATCATCATATCAATGCATTAATAACATTTCAATCAAACATTAAATTCACATAAAAAGGTGTACCCAAGGATAATTTGGACATTTCACAATAAAATGAAATTATGTAATTAATTTAATTGAATATTTTATTTATTAACATTTAGTGTCACCTAAATTGATATTGTAACACTAACGATGCTAAATAACATTAATAAAAAAAATAGAAATGATGAATATGTCCATCTAAATGTAGAGATTTGATTAGACATAGTGAGTCATCAATATTTAGCTCCTGTTTGAACCACATTAAAATTTTCTTTCTCATTTTTTACTCATTTTCAACCACACATTATTCAATAAAATATTATTTTTCCTCACATCAATAACTTTTCCTTATTTTTCAACCACACATTCTCCATCAATCTAATATTTCAAAATACATTCTTTCAAAATAATGTGGCTCAAACACACCCTTAATCATTTTATTTCTTTCATGGTTGTTATTTTTTCTCTCTTATATTAAATAAATTTAAATTGTAAACAAAATTTATTGGAGAAGAATTTGAACTTGACAATCTATTCATTAGATTAATACCACAAATAGTCTTTCTACTTGTCCGTCATCATGTAGGCTTCAATTCATTTAATGCACGAAAATGATCATAGTAGTTCTATTTTAAGCACAATCATATATTTCTAAGGTTGTTTTTGACACCCATTTTGGAGAAAGAATAAATTTTGGAATAGTGATTGATGGAAGAATGTGTGGTTAAAAAGTAAGGAGAATTTTTGAATTTATGTGTAATATTTTTTTATTGATAAAATATGTGATTGAATTGAATAAAGAGAAGAAAAAAAACGAGAAAGAGAATATGAAGAAAATAGGTGTCAAACATGGGCTTAATCTTCAAGCTAAGTAGATACAACTTAAGGCCCCTGTTTATTTCGGATTAAAATCATATTTTAATATAAGTCAAAGTGAAACAATCAATATTAACCATATCTTTAATGGGTCCCACAATTTTTGAACCACACATTTCAAAAAATTCTATCACAATCTACTAAAAATCTAATTTTAATCCCCACTAAACACCTACTAATTTTTTTTCGTGGCTTTAAGTGTCTATTAAATTGTTAAGTTTAGTAAAATATTAAAACGATTTGTTTGGTTTTAAACAATTTTCAATTAATGGTAATTCAAATCAAATTTTGAAGTAGTTCTGGTTCATTTCAGAATCAAAATATTAACAAGTCTATGAAGGTCCAAATTAACTGTTTTGTAGAGACAATGGCTTTGATGGGTTGACGGGTTTTTCGCCCACACATAATGGGAAACAAGTAATGAGAGGACGAGGACGACTTAGCATTGAAAATTACAGATGAAAATGCAGTTAACATGAAAGTTTGGGGACCTCTATTGCTATTTTCCCAAAAACGATAAAAAAGAGAAAATTTCTTAGGAAGACCTTTTACAGAAAAATCTACTAAAAACCGGAAGAAAAAACCCCAATTCCAACGCCTCTGCCCTCTCTTTCCCATGGAAGCCAATAATGACAACATTGGACTGAGCTCTTACTACAACCACCCTCAGCTTAACCTCCAAACTCCTCCTGCTCCACCACCGTCTACTGTCGCCTCCGCCACAATTCCATCAGCCACTAATGGAGTTGTACCTAACAGTACAACCAACAACAGCGATGTGTACACTCACACCGGCGTTCCTTCTACGGTATCCTCGCCTGCAGAGAACATGAAGAGAAAAAGGGGAAGACCCAAAAAGTACGAAACCCCCGAGCAAGCCGCGGCTGCTAGGAAGCTATACGCTTTGGCTTCCTCCGCGGCTTCCAAAAAGAAACGGGACCAAGGCTTGGCTGCTCTTGCTTCCACCCCGTCCTCTAATTCTTCCAAGAAACTCCAGCTGGCTGCTTGCGGTGATTCTTTTTCCCTCTCTCTGTATATGTGTAATTTATCTGTATATGCAATTATGCATACAGGTATCTATGCGTTAATATATGTATTTGTATATGCATGCAAGTAATTGTGTAGGTAAAATCTTGAACCTATCAACTAGTGCCCTGAATCCTGTCAAAGATTTAAATTTTGGTTTCTGTCCCAGCTCTTTAATATTTCATTTTGATTCATTTGAAATAGTTTAGTCTCGTGGCTCTTTCCACAGAAGAAAAGGGAATTTTATATACCCTTTCTTGTGTTCAAGATTAGAAAGGCAAATAACCCCTCCTAATATGGGAAAAGGTAGACTGAAGTTTCGATCCCTATGGATTCGTGCTTATCTAAGAAGGGTATAGAATGGTTTGGTATGTTGTTCACTACGTCTTGCTTAAAGGACTGTTCTGTGGTTCACAGGGCGCTCCCAAATTCTTTTTCTCACAGCGGGACGAGAGGCAAGTCCATGAAAGATAATGCAAGGTTCGGGGTGACAATGTTAAAAAAAGATGCAATCTTTTATCCAATATATGTCAAAAAGGAGAATATTTACAGAGAAAAGTATACAAACCTATCATAACAAGTGAAAAACAACTACCTTTGCAGATATTAAATCGGTGAAAATTCTTTCGAGATAAGAATAGAAAGCTTGTTTGGGATCTCATTCCATGATGTATTGTTTGGCGTTTGTGGAGAGAAAGAAACGGCAGATGCTTTGAAGACCAACTACGGACGACAGAGCAATTTAAAGAATTGTTTTACTTGACTTTGTATAATTGGTTTAAGGCTGCAACCATTAGTCCGATAGAAGGATTGCCGAATTTTTTATCGTTTCTATATTGTTTAACCTGATAATGCACTCCTTGTGTGTTATCTTTTATTTTTGATTTATAAAATTTACGTGATTACCTATCAAAAAACATATACGACCTCATGCAACCGACTAAACATTCAGTACGTCAAGGTCTATAGACCTAACTCATCACTGGAAAACCGGTTTAACAATATGAGATTTTCTCTATTGCATTATACTCCCGTTAATTGTTTACATCGGGATTAGAGTCACTTGGCACTCCCCCTCCCACAGCACCTGTCAGAAACGTCCTGCTTGTGTGCCTTCAAGTGTGGGCCTTTAAATTTTGAAAAGCTTATTTTAATTTCTAATTTTGTTGCAGTAATGTTCTCTTCAAATATTCTTTTTTTCCATTTTTTTATTAAGTTTCCCACCATAGTTATTTGAGTTTCTAGACTACCTCAAGCAAAGTGGACAGTGGACTAACTCTCTTTCTACCTGGGTGATGCAGGCAATATGGACGAAGGTTTCACCCTTCACATCATTACCGTGACTGCTGGAGAAGTATGCTTCTAGATATGCACTATAAAATCTTCTTTACACTTAACTTTAATATAAATGGATAAATTTTCTTCTATTCAACATATATCTTGGTATTCTTTTGCTGAGAATGTAAATAGTTGTGCTTATTGCTTTTTAGTTTTATTCAAGATCTGTTTTTTTTCTCTTTGTTGTGGATGAGTGGTCATTCTTTTTCATATTATATTTTGAAAGACTTGGAATTTGGAAATGTCATTTTTTTCAATACCATGCTTTGGATTTTGGACTGGAAGCAAGTTTAAAGAAATGAGGCCCATTCAAAAAAGTGTATTTAAGTAATGTTCCATATTGAAGTTGTCAGTGTAAATTTCATAAACTTTGTGGCTACGGGAAAGGAGTAAATGGTATTTTCTCAATTAACTAATTTGTCCATGAGATCTTACACCATGGAGAAGCAGAGAGGACCATCGGTTATTTTAGTGATCATAATTCTATTGTTTATGCTGAAAGACTGCAAAGTTCTCAACTTGACATCTTCCTGTATTATGTTCTGCTTGTCTAGAATCTCAATATTTTAAAATAATAGACCGTTTCATGTTTTTTTTTTCATTCAATATTTGATTCAATTAAGGATAGAAGATCTTGATTTCAATGTCTGATGTAAAATTTTACACGGGACACGATAAAATTACTATTTAGTTCATGTATGTGATCGTTAAGTTAATCTGAGATCCCTCTCTCTCTCTCCTCCTCTCCTCTCTCTTTCTTTCCCTCTCTATTTTTATTAGTTTTGCATCAACTCTGGACAGGGAGTTATAGAATAAGTGATTCTATCGTTGCACTGTTGCATGTCTTCTGGACCAGCTGGTGGAAAGCTAGATGAATACTCTTGATGATTTTCTTTGTTACGCTTCTTATACTGTTCGGATTGCAAACTGTAGCATTATTTAGATAGTTCTAGTTCAATTCCTGGATCTTCAGGAGTGTAGCAGGATGTTCATCGAACGAGTGGGATCCTGGTGTGATTATGTCTTAAAACTTTGCGTCTTCTCCTCACTCTTCTACCACTTCTTATATTTGAGGATGTGGTCTTCATGCCTCTTATATTAAGGTCAAAGTCAATAATAGGGGTTTCTTCCTTGAGCTACTTTTGCACATTTACGTTTGTGATTTAATCTTTCAAGCAATCTATGTGATAGGTGTCTAGTTTAGGTGAAGATTTACTTGCTGACGTAATTCTAGCTCCCACAATATATAGTTGTCATGAGATAATAGAATATTCTGGTCATTGTAATAATCATTAGTAGATGAGAATATTATAATCGATGTTTCCCTGGATTTCAACAACTGTTTTTTTTTTACTGCACATGTTGCAGAAAGAGCTTTGTTACTGTGTTATTTCTGGGAATAAGAACAGCATTTTTGTATCTACACTTGATGTTGTTAATCAATAATGTTCTGGGGTAGTTTGTCTTTTTTTTTCTGATCCCATCTTAGCATGTCATATGCCTACTTTTGAATCTTTTGCCTTTTGTGATTGATAACTGTAAGACCTAACATGTCTAGATGCATTGATAGGACGTGGGTCAAAAAATCATGATGTTTATGCAGCAAAGCAAACGTGAAATATGTATTATTTCAGCATCTGGTTTGGTCTCTAATGCATCTCTACGCCAGCCAGCAACATCTGGAGGCAGCGTTTCATATGAGGTAGATTTCCCCCCATTTTTTAGATATTACTTTAGCCATCTGGTGGCAGTATTTCATAGAGTAGCAATATGTAGGTATGGATATTAAGCATCCTTTTCTGTTATGAAAGCTGTTCTATATGCGTATGGATATATTCTAGGATACATTGGATTGTGATTTAAAACCAAAATCTCCATGTATGGTTGACGAGAGCCAAAGTCAGATAACAATTGCCTAAAAGCTCCTCTTCCTCCCGAGCACTGACCGCCATCAACTTAAACCCCAATGAAAGGACATTAGTCAATAATAGTTCAACACCTATGTTCAGAAAGTCTGACCCCAGTTCTTGTATCAGCACTGAAGTCTGAAATTTACCACCACGTGCTTTATTCTATAAGAATAAGCTTGATGAGTTCAGAATAAAAAAATGACGACACACATAAAATAAATAAATAAATAATGAAAAACCAAAGTATTTGATCTCAATTGAGCTATCCAATACTAGAGTCTAGATCATATCATATAGGATAAGAAGGAAAATTTTGTCAGTTAGAAATTCCTATATATTTGGAAAAATTCTAATTTAGCTCCTGTAAATATGTATGACCTATGCTGCACCACTTAATTTTCTAATTTTGGATCCACTACTCCCTAATTATGGATGATAACAGAACTGCACTTTGATGGTCGGACTGTTTTGTGCTTTCCTTATGTTAGTTGTTAAGAGTTTTATAAGGCAAATCAGCTTCAAGAGTCCAACAATTCCTGGGAAACCTTTATTTTATTTTTTGTTACTAAACTATTCCATGATATAAATAGCATATTTCATTGAGACTTATTTAGATTTTATGCTGTTCTACATTTTGCTCAAATTTATTGTCTAATCATATAATTGAATTAATTGACCAGTCTGATAATATCTTGTAAATTATATTATATCACTGCCTTATTAATTGATCACATTTGAAAAGAAAGTTTGGCACATCAAATGCGACTTCTCTGGTGTTTTGCACTGTTTTCCACCATTAGGATACAACTCTAAAATGGTTGGTTCATTATTAGGGGCGATTTGACATTCTTTCTCTATCTGGATCTTACATTCGTGCTGAACGTGGAGGAGGGAGAACTGGAGGACTTAGTGTATGTCTGTCGAGTACTGATGGACAAATCATTGGTGGAGGGATTGGTGGACCACTTACAGCTGCAGGCCCGATTCAGGTAACATTTGTATTAAATTCTGTGAAGAACACATTTTTTATTAATTTATTACATACTCTTTACTTCTTATATAGATAAAAGGGTTTTTCCATTTGTACAGAATTCAAACAGAAAACTCACATGGGGTGGGCCCCATGTGAGTAAAATATTGAAAAAAATAAACCACCCACCCGCCCTATTGTGTCTATTCTGGTGCATTTCTGTAACTCCATTTTCTGTACGTGTAGTGCAGTTCTAGATAAAATCTATCGCAATATATGCTATGAATTGCACTATGGTTTTGTATATATAGATGCGTATGACATTGGTACCAATATATAGATGCTGTAGTCGAATCTAGAATTTTAATGAAATGAACTCCTTTTTATAATACATAAATTATAGTTGTTGGGACAGTAGTTGAACTGCTTCCCCCCTTTTCCTACTTGCTTTCCCTTGTTCATATTCTTATTGTTGATTTCTTTGTGGTAAATGTTATTTAGGGAAACCTTTGTATTAACCATTCTGCTAGATGAAGCTTAACAAATATCACATTTTCTAGTTGGGACAGCTATTATATTATTCTGGTCTAGAATGAAAATTTTGTCCTATTGTTGTCCCAAATTGCACATCTTCAATTCCAAATTCTAGTTTTTATATTTAGTGAATTGCATGTGTTACAAATGTTATCAGCTTCTCTATATTCTCGCCTTTTCAATATGGGTTCATAATTCTGAACACGCAGACTATTTTATAAAGATTGTTTTAATTTATTGTGGCTCTGAATTCGGATGGTCTGTTATGGATTTTATTGGGTTAATTGATCTAAAGAAGAGATAACTGTATATGTGCTTGGGTTATATGTAATTGAACTTGAACTTTATGTGTTATCTATTAGGTTAAAAATCTCAATGGCCATTGTACTTTCGACATTGTTTTTCATTCGTTACTCCGCTTCTGCTGATTGAAAATTAATGGTTTCAATGATGGGACAAACGAAACCGTTAATTTTTCAAACGATCATGAGCGACGGAAGGAAACGACATTGCAAGTATAGTGACTGCTGGAAACAACAGTGACTATTCTGATATTTTAAACTTACCACGATTGTTGGGGAACATACAACTTTGAAACCACGGTGGGAAACAATGTTGAAAGTACAGTGGCCATTGAGATTTTGTATCCATTAGTTAGTTATCCACACAGTTTTATTCTATGTGTTCTCAAGTAATGGATGATAAATAACCTGATTTCAGTTTTTCAACTTGTAGTTCTTGTTATAGTCAACATGTGCAAGTGTATATAACCTAATTGCACTAGAAAGGAAAATGGGTAGGAGGAGATTACCTCTAGGATATGTTAGATCCTTGCTATCCAGTATGAGTTGTTACATGCTAAAAACCCCCTCTTATTTTTTAATATGATTAACAAATCATTCCTCCCCCCCCTCCTCTCTCTCTCTCTCTCTCTCTCTCTCATACACACACATATTTACGAACACGAGCCTGCCATGCCGCGCATAGAACATCTTTGCATGCCTTTAGAAATGTACTCTTTTTTTTTTTNTTTTTTTTTTTTTTTTCTGTGGATGCCTACCATAATTATGCTCCTCAGGCAGACTTTTGGCCTGGAATTTTTTTTATGAAGAGTCTTTTAGTCCTGTATATGATCAAAACTTATTAGCTTTTGCAAATATAGTATGATGTATAGGCAGAGTCGTAAAACCTGTTGTGGACTGTTGATCTGGTTTGTCAATTGATCCACAACTCTCTCTGGTTTGAGTTCTGACCATCATTACACCTTTCTGGTGGACTTTTGCTGTGTTATTATGATCAAAACTAAATTAGCTTTTGCAAATATATTGACATATAATCAGTCCTAAAATCTGGACTGAACTGGTGACCTGGTTTGTAAACCAATCCTGGCAACTCCACTTGACAGGAAATCAGGAAAGTGGTCTAAATCCAGATAAATTGCACAGTTCAGTGGAAACCAGTGATCTGGTTTACTATACTACAGTGAACCTGTTCTCGATATAATCATTTGTTGCTCGAGTTTCGGGGTGTAATACAAACCTGCAAATGTGGACTCAAGGTTATTGTTAACGATAAACTAATAATAAATGTTATTGTTGATAACAAACTACCAATATCTTTTATGCACACAATTACACCAGTGACTTGGGTGCTTTTGACCAGACAGATCGTGCCAGGATTGATAATTTAAGCATATGGGGTTTTTCCGTTTCTTGACACGTCAGTTAATTGCGTTAACAGGTAATTGTTGGTACCTTTCAAATCGACTCCAAGAAGGATACTAGCGGTGCTGGTAAAGGAGATGCTGCTTCCAACAAGTTATCTGCAATTGGTGGCACTTCAGTGTCAGATCTAGGCATCTGGTCACCTGCTGATTCTACTCATCAAACTGTTGGTGGAAATCCATTTATGATTCAGCATCAGGGCATGCAATTGACACCTTCACATTCGATGGAATGGAGAAATAGCACTGGTCATGGCATGCAGCAATCTCCCGAGAATGGTGACTATTAGAAAATTCCAGATTTGTCATATACTTTTCTTAGGACAGGTTCTTGTCGAAGGAAAAATGAAAAATGAAAAAACGATGACTTAGAATCTCCTCAGTCTACCACCCTAGCTCACCGGATATGGACCGTTTTTACCTCTTGGCAGTCAACTAATGTTATTCTCGTCTCCTCAGTCTACCACCCTAGCTCACCGGATATGGACTGTTTTTACCTCTTGGCAGTCGACTAATGTTATTCTCGTCAGATTAGAACTTTTCTCAGGAAGGATTTCCCTCTCCTTGCAGACAGTTTTTAAGTATTAGAATTGGCTAGATAAGTAACATTTTTCTGTAGTAATGTATTTTTCTTGTTGGGACAGCTGGTTGAAGGCCATTTATATTGCAGGACAACGGTGTTTAATTTTCTGCTCGTATGTATCTAATAACTTTGTTTACTGTCGTCGATGAACTTAGTTTCAGTTTGAGCATTTGAGCATCAAGTGTCACTCTAATTTTATGCTGGCAGGTTTAAACCAATGAACGCAGCATCTGAAAGTGTCTTTTTCATTAGCATCTCTGTAGATTGTGTTCTCTAGTGTCGCTGTAATACAGTTATAATTTGGCATTCGATATTCTGATTTTCTTATTTTTCTAAAATGGCATGGTCAAGGCGTATTATTTAGTACTAGACAATATTATGAGTAATTTTAATGGGCGCCACTACCCAAGGCCAGATCCAGTCAGGTTCTATTCATCATGTCACCTTCCCAAAAGTTTTGACCTTGTCTTGGGGCATTTTTGGCTTTACGAGAGAGGGCTCGCCGGCGAAATGTCTCTCTCATAGTCTCGGGTCATACTTTGGTGTGTCCCAGAAGAGGAAATCACAATTCATCTTGCTCAGCAAGCGTAGCTTGGAGTGAGAGTGTAGTAGGGGTAAGCACAGTTAAGCTAATATGTGCCAGGTTCTTCATCGATATTATTGAGTAATGAACTGTACTATTTATCAAATGATATTTACTACATTACTTACATTTGGAATTTCAAATTTCGGTTACAGTTTGTTGAGAATTTGATGTGATAGAAGAAATGGAGGATGATAGTGTTGTATTTATTGACCTCGGACCCGAAATACTTCCATTCTATGAGTTAGGTTGGAATTAGATTGTTTATACGGTTTTGAGAAATGCGTGATAAAAAAGTAAACAGAAGTTGTGAATTTTACAAAATTATGTTTGATCAACTTATCAACAATTATAAAATTTGAAAACTTGCACTTAACCATATGAGGGACGAGGAGTGTGAAATGGGTTTCGACTTTAGCAAGGTATGCTAAGGTAAGTTCAATCATTCTTTATTCACTTTATTATTGATCCTTCTCAAGTATATCGGAAGATTGTTGACACGTTCACTGTTCGTATTTCAAGGTAATACATTCGTTACTCGGAAAAAGTCGATTATAAAAGGCTATTCCTCTGTCGACATGATTCACATTTATGTTAAAAGTGTTGGATACATAACTGGATTTTCGTATGTTGACTAATATTCCTTGGACAAAAATAGAAGCTTAGTTCAACTACCTCATCAACTAGATGCATCTTCATGGACAAGAGTGTCATCCATTCGAAGAAAGATAAAACAAGGATGTTAAAAGTGATGTGATCCGTTAATTTATTTATTACCATATATTAAAAATTTAATACATGAACCAAGTAATCTTCATCTCTAGCTAGTAATTTGCAGGGCCATGACTCCATGAAAATGAACTATGGTTCAATTCTCCCCTGTTCCGAAGTGGCATGTTATATGCTGCCAAAGCCGGCGGTTCACCCATATCACCACCACCAATGCCAGCCTGTCCTCCGTCTGCAACACCCCCGGTGGCGGCAGCAGCTTCTTCTTCCTCATCCAAAGGCAACCTCTCATAAGTAGCATTCGAAAACGTAGAAGCAATCACCATTACTGGGCCAGCAGCCACCAGAGAACCCACCACACTGCCTCCCACCACCTGTCCCTGACCGCCGGCTAAGTATATAGTCAGCCCTGTGGATCCCAGCGGTGGCACCGCCCCAGGGAGAAAAGCACCAGTCAAGGAGAGGATTTCAAAGCGGCCATGTAGAGCCATTACTGCACCAGAATCACAAGGTTGCCGAATTGTCACATTTTTAACTATCCCACTCGCACTCAAAACACAAACTCCTCTTTGCCTTTTTCTTGCAAATTCAGCTATGCTCTCCGCCACATCAGAGCCACTTGCAACCTCCATAACATGGCTGCGCAGCGCATTAGGACTGTCCTTCGTCACAAATACGGGCGGTTTTGGCTTGTTCTTTGAACCTGTGAATGATGAAGACATAATTTAAATAAATAAGCTTGTTCTCACCAATAGTTTAGGTTTTTAGACTTCAAGCTAATGAACGACATGAGGGAGTGTAATCATGAATACATTTAAGACAAGAAAAATTTAAATAAGAATTAATATTTGTTTCCTACTCTATATCAGCTAAAACTTTTAGATAGATGGGGTTGAAGATTCAATAACCTGTAGGCCTGCCTCTTGTCCTACGCATTGGGAACTCAACGGCGCCCTCGTTAATCTCCTCGCTTTGATCTCTATCTTCTTCATCTTCTCTTCCACCACCACCACTGTTGGAATTGTGATCATTCATAGACATGGTGAGATCTACAGGCTTCTTGAATGGTGATGGCGTTGGATTATAATGGTTAATGGATATTCCTAGATTTGGTTTCTTCGAAGCTGGTGAGCTAACTGATGTTGACGACTGATCAAATCCTATTTGGCCACTCCGTCGGTTGGCCATATTTGCGGCAAAAATAGATTCCAAATGACACTGCAATCTGTTTTTGGAAAAATCTCTTCAAAATACTTGCTTGTTAGGTTCATCTATCAAAAATCAGTGTGAAGAAGACTTTTCTCAAAGTTAGATAGATATATAGGAGAAAGAGAGTGGGGGAGAGTAATGTGGGTTTATATACCACTAGGGTCCGCATGATCAAGTAGGATGCACGTAAGCCCTTTTCTCCCTCGAATTATGCTACTTGTCCATAAAAAAAGAACGTAAGAGATGATGGCAAAATGTATTGGATCGTCCTACCTCAAACGACTCTTATATTTTTGTGTTTAAATCAAATTATATTTAATAAATAAGAGAATATGATAAGAAATGAAGATATTTTAATCCTTGCACTACCTACTACCCCGCGTTATGGGAAATGGGGGATGGGGATGGGTCAGCCAAACTCCGTCCTGCCTCATTGTCATCCCTTCTTCTTCTTCATCTGTGTTTATCAATTAGTTGTATAACACTCTGAGACCTATGTCCCGAAAGTTAATTAATTCATTTAGCCACTATAAAAGTTGATGGACGCGTTGTAATACAAAAGAATTTGAAGAACTTTGTAGAATAAAATAAGCTATTTTATATATCAAATAAATTCAGCCCACTGATGAAATATAAATTCATCTATTTTGAAAATAAAATTCTGACTCCAAAATAATTTTAAACTAAATGCTAAGTATTGAAAGAAAAAAAATTATTGATCCATCAGCACGGACCTGTTAGCAGTTGCAAACTCCAACTTCGATCAATCAATTATTTGAAAAATATTTTAAATATGGAATGAGCATAGGAATATATTTAGAATATATTTCATACCATTATTTTCACCATTTTATATAAAAACATGTAAATACGTACACAATATAATTTTCTAGTGGGATAGAAACCCAAATGTCTCGTTGTCACTTAGGTCATACCCATTCTCAATCTCCACTTAGAGAGTATTTAGCCTTATGGTTGGTTTATGTGTAAATCTACATAATAATACCATATGACTGTAAATCTACATAATAATACCCTATGGCATTAACCATAAGATCCTTCTTAATTTGGATCACATAATATCACATAAATTACTTAACTTAAAACATTAAAAAGTAAAAACACAAGACTACTTGGCACGTGTAGAAATCTCTCTTCCACTGACATCTGTAAATTGGTGTATGGCTTAGTGTGTTTAAATACTTGTGATTAAGATAATTATCTAATAAGAATTATAGAGAGTGTTGACACCCATTTTTTGGATAATAGAATTTTCGGAATAGTGATTGATGGGAGAATGTGTGCTGGAAAAGTTATGAAAAGTTTTAAATTTGTGTGTAATATTATTTTATTGTGAGAATGTGCAGTTGAAATGAAGAAAGAGAAAAAATGAGAATGAGTGCCAAACGAGGTAATAATAGAACTCTTAAATCAATTTTTAAAAATGGACTTATCGCAAACAATACTATGTGCGTGGAATTCAAATTTAAGAAAAAATCGTAACTAAAATAATATAAAGTTCTAGTGTGGATGTATGCAAATTTTCAAGTTTTATCTAACTACTTTATATCAAATTATTATCGGATACTAATTCAATATATATCCGAATATTAAATTGTAATTTTATTAAAACTAGCATTTCCAATTATTAGAATATTAGCACAAGGTCCCTAAAAAATGGTAAAGTTGCTAAGTTACCCTAAAGTACTCAAAAATTTCATTTATGCACAATATATCGTATGTATGCTCGGGGGTATTTAGGGACGGATTCAGGACCAGATTACAGGCCAGGCTAATACGTAAAAAAATAAAATTACACATGATTTTTTTTTCTAAACAAAAAAAATAAAAAAATCAGTTGGGGGAGGGGGGGCTGTAGCCCCCCAGCTCCCCCTCTATTCGTCCCTGGGGGTATTACAAGTTGTCTCTACCTTTGATTGGGATGTACATAAAGGGTTTATTTTATCTTTTGTGTTTTAATTAGTGGATGTATATTTTTGCCTTTTTAAGTTGATGATTTCTTTCAAAGTTAACTAAGTTGTTAAAAACTTAAAAGTCTGAGGACTTTAATATCGACAAAAATAGTTGAAGACCAATGTACAAAGCATTAATACATTGGGGAGCCCCCGCTCCAAAGGCCAGTCTTAAAAAGGGTAAGATGTAAAAGATCATAAAATATAGGGACTGCATCAGAAAGCCCAAAGCATAAAACCCTAAACGATAAACCCTAGCAGCCACCACAAACTCCCTCTTTATATGTGGAGAAGCCTCAACGCAGTCTTCATCTTCCTCTCTTCTCATTTTTCTGTCTCAGACCGATAAAAAAAAGGTGAACATATTAATTCAAATTAGTTTTAGATATTTCTGGGTACCATGTTGGGATTTATGTATAATTACAGAAGCACAAATCGAAGGCTTTGCGGGTATATTGATTAATAAAAGCCCGTGGAGCTCAAAAATAGTGCTATATCAACTTATCTGTAAGTCTGTCCTCTTGATATATAATTAAATTTTTCAAGGGGATTAATTATGGATGAACATTTTTCATTTTTACAGATTATTTGTTATAAGTGCTTTTGGGAAATTATGATGCGGGCCTTTTTTAAACACATTGGGAAATCTGTATTAATTGAGGTTTTATAAAGCATTAGAAGAAATATAAGTAAGAATTGATCCCTGCCCCTGGAATTTCTCCAGGAGCTCATTTTTTATTTTTATGTTTTGAGATTGATCAATGTGCTTGATTATGTATCTAAACGAGGGTTAATTTTACCAATGCTCAATTTTATATTAATTTTTTGTTGATTATTTGAAGATTTACCTCTTCATTATTCTGTCTTATGGAACTGGAAAACTCCTTTCTTGAGCAATGAAGACTGCTTTTGATATGTTTTTCAATTTTTGACAGTTATGAACAAATGTCATACCTTCTTTTTGCTTTTGTGATTTCAGATTTCATTGAAAAATGAAAAACCCGAAGGTTTTCTTTGACATATTGATTGGAAAGGCGAAATCCGGGCGAGTTATGATTGAATTGTTTGCTGACACCACTCCCAAAACTGCTGAGAATTTCCGAGCCCTATGCACGGGAGAGAAAGGGATTGGAGCTTCTGGGAAGCCATTGCATTACAAGGGTTCGATATTTCATCGCATTATCCCAAATTTCATGTGTCAAGGAGGGGACTTTACAAGGGGTAATGGAACCGGTGGAGAATCCATTTATGGTGCCAAATTCTCAGATGAGAATTTCAAGCTAAGGCATACAGAGCCTGGTCTGTTATCAATGGCCAATTCTGGGCCAAATACCAATGGATCACAATTCTTTATCACGACTGCGAAAACACCTTGGCTTGATGGCAAACATGTAGTGTTCGGGAAGGTCGTAGATGGCTATAATGTCGTTAAGGAGATGGAGAATGTAGGTTCCGATAGTGGAACTACCAAGTCGACTGTTGTGATAGAGGATTGTGGTGAGATAACTGAGAAATAATTGTTCAAAAAGCAGGGCACCAGGCCATGTTATTTTATGGAAAATATATGGTATTTGTAAGTTTTGGTGAAGTTGAAGTTAACCTGATGTTCATTTGTATAATCGGAATAAAGCCTTTCGATTGGACCATTTCTCCATGATAGCTGCTTCATTGTATGGTTGAATTGCGAGTTGACTCAATCTTTCTTTGTGAAAACTTAATGCATAAGTTATTTTTTATTTTCCTAAAATTCTTATGCAGTTTTGTTGGGAAATTGGGAAATTTACGCCAATTTCCTTTCTTCCTATTACTCGCGGGATCTTTTGTTGTTCAGAAAAATATTAGCAAACAAAGAAAAATAAATAATATAACGCACAATTGGACCGTCAAAGCCTTTTAACCATATGAAAAATTGTTGCAATCATATAGAATTCACTTACCAATCCAATCCCAAAGTATTACAAAGAAAAAAACTTCAATAGTCTAGAACCTTTTTCTTCTCTCCAAGCTATAAATTTTCTCTTACGGATGGAATTATTAAGGGTGTGTCTGTCCAAGATTTTGGCCAAATTTTCCATGATTTTTTGACCGTTGAGGTCAACACCTGGACCCCACATGCCTCACATTTGGTCCAAAAAGATGGCTAAATCCTGTACCAACGGTTTAAAAAGTGCTGAAAATCCTCCAAACAATCTTGGACAGACACACCCTAAAAGAGGAGAAGAGACATCTATTTATAGAGGCTAAAGGAGGTGGAAGTAGAGATTTCAATTTTAAATTTTCCTTTCTTTGACTTCTCAAATCTTAACCAAGAAGAAAGAATGTCAATTACCCTTTAAGCCACCAATTTTGACTAAATGAGACAATTATCTAACAAAACAATATTTATATGTATCAAGATTCTAATTCATACACGTACACAATTTTCATAGATCTTAGATAGGAGAGACTTAGGACTTGATCAGCTGACTGTTGTCCCAAGTCTTCGAGCGCCCAACTTTTGTTCTAAGTCAGATAGGAGAGACTTCTTAGATAGGAGGGACTTGGGACTTGATCAACAAATCCTTTGCCTCAGATGAAACTGAGCAGAAAATACTCGGGGGTAACCTCAAACTCCCTCTTAACACTGCATCAAAATTCTGAGTCGGACCATCCCCATCAAACGGGGGCGCGCCACTGAGCATGATGTACAGATAAACACGACTCATTTTCAATCTCTTTAGTGGACTAGATACGCAAAGTATGTCAAATGATGGATGTCATTAGGGGTCGAACGCACGGAAAACTTTGATCCGTCTTTGGCTTTGACTAAATAATTTTTGACTTAGATTGAAATAAGTTGAGATCAATGAGATGTAATATGTGAGGATCGAAAGTTATAGAGAATAAATTCGGAAAATTGATGGATTATTTTTCTTTATTTCCGTAATATATCCTGTTTCTATCTCTTTCATGTTTATATTACGCTCTCTCTCTTTTTCGATAAAAAACTTAACTATGTTACACTTGAGGTCCACTTCGTTCAATTGGTTAAAATTGTTTCTTCTTCATTTTAACTAATTGATGACACTGGGCGAAGCCACAGAGCACCACTGAGGCCAAATTATGTTACTTGCAAGCATTGCATACAACAATCTTAATGCAAAAAGAAGTCGTAGATTAAAAAATTGTAAAAAAACAACAATTTACTTGTGAAATAGCAATGCAACAGCTACTTCAAGTTCCACGAAGAAAATCTCATCTGCTAGCGCTTCTTCGTTGCTTGGTCAGGACCATAAGCATATTGAGAACTCTCTCACAAACCCATTTTCAGAATGATTTATACCCAAGTGTCTGTAAGGTGATATTACAGCAGGCACCCCTTATTGGATGGACCCTCAATTGGGATAGAGCACCAGGAGAGTACTACTCTTTAGATGGCTGTTTCTGCAACCATTGACGTCAATTCTGAAGGTGGCGTACCGTAACTACTGCTTTATCCCACATAGCTTGTGAAAGGCTAGATGTGTTGACTTGTAAAAATATTAAGCATCCTCCCCTTGCAAGTCAGTTTCGAGGTGAAATCTACCCAAGTGCTTGTAACAAGCATAAATTACATCCAACAGTAATGTAAATATTGTTCTCTCATGAAAATTGCAACAAGCCTACTCAAAAGGAAGTGAGGAATGCAAAATTTTCCACAATTTTCTACAATTAAATTATAGGGAAGAAAATGTTTAAAACAAATTACAGACAAAACAACAAAGCAGCTGATAACAATTAACTAACAACATGAAAAGTAGCCTCCTACTAACAGAAAGAACAAATGTTCCTGGTTCTTTGTGCATCCTTTTCTTCATAACCCCTCACAAATGTTCCTACCGAAAGGTGCTCTGCAGCATATGTCATAAAGGATGCCAAAATAAGGCCTCCCATTACCATCAAACCTAACCTGTTAAAGCACGTATATATGTATTATTTACCGAAGTGAAATATAGCACTGTTCACTTAACATGTATATGACATCTTAGACACATTAAAAAATTCGTGCCCGGTCACATAGTGAACTAAGTATAGACACAAGTAAACCAACTTAAAATCCAGTTCACGGAATAAGAAGTAAAAAGTTCAATCTATACAGACTTCAAAGGCCATAGAATGATACTGCTGTTCATTATAATTGGACAATTTGAGTGAGACCTACTTGAACACTTAATTTAAGTAAAAGCTAAGAGTGTTTTTACTAGTTCACTTCATGCTTGGATTGGGAATAATCAGAGCCAAGTCAAGCAATTGGTTGTTGAAGCTTTGACTTGATACCATAACAGCTCCTAAATGGAGGTCAAACTAGGTGTAGCTGCTGGATGAGAGAATATGCGCTGTGTGAGTAACTTTAGTAAGTGTAGATGCATATGCCCAAACTAAGGTACAACTAAAGCAGAAAATAAGGACACACCAATGTGTAACCACAAAACAAGGGTGAAATCCAATATTAAAATAAAGATATCACAAGTATGAAGACACGGGTGGTGGAAGTATAATTATGGTCACAACCCAAATTTTAGTTTCCACTTCAGTATGTTGTTCTATACTTTTGAAATAGTTAGGCATGTAAGGGTTATGTCCACTACCACATGAGGTTGACAGAATGAAAGCACAGCAGGGAAGCTATGATGCTCGGACTCGAGTACGGGTACGTATCTAAGTGTTGGATTTTTATTTCTAAAATGTAGGATATGGGGACATGACTAAAAAAAATCTAAATTTCAGACACTAGTATGTAGGTACGTCTTTCAAATTTCAATTTTTTTTACTAATCTAGGATATCATTTTGAATAGACCAAAATTAATTATTCACAATGAAGGATATGGGTTTTTAATAAGGGGTTGAAACGAATAAAATAGAATTTTGGGGTTTAGTTTTCAATTATGGGAATTGCTAAATGTTATATAAAATAGAAAATGAGGAACTTGATTGTAATTTGACTTAGTGGAGCACTAAGTGGCACTACATGGAACCCATTTTCATTTTATACAAACAAAATCCTAAACCCCCGATACAAAGAGAGAGAAGGAAAAAAAAATAAGAAAATGGAAAGAAAAAAGAAAGAACAAGAAAAAAAAGGTAAAACCTAGTGCCACTGCCTTTCTCCACTCTTTCGGCGACGACACTAGGTTTATAGAGAGCAAAAGTGGGAAAGAAGAAAAGGGAAAGAAAAGAAAAAGGAAAAAAAAAAAAAAGAAGAAAGAAGCAAAAGAAGGAAGAAGCAAAAACAACGAAGTGTCCGGTTGAAATTTGGAGGATCCGACACATATTTCATACCCCAACCCATGTCGTGTTGTGTCCGACACGGGTACTCCAACTATTTCGAAGAGTCCAAGCATCAAAGCAGGGAAGTATAGCTTTTTATTTTTTAGCCTAACCGTTTACTCTTCTCAACTTCAATTGTGAATAGAGACTGTGTCGGAGTTGCATCCCTGGGTTAAAGATGCCGAGGATCATCAACCCTAAACCTCAATGCTATCAAATTTTGGTCCGTGAAAGCTACAATGCAGTTGGGGCACATTCTTGGGCACAAAAAAGTAATACTGAGGCTGGAATTTTTTTGGGATAGAATGATGCTTACTCCTCAATCACTAATAGCTTTGGAAATGCATTATATTTTAATAAAATTAATAGGAGAGACATGATAGGATTGCCGACTGCCTGGCATGTCAAGGACAATACAATCAAGTAGATATGAGCATGGAAAATATGGCACAATTGAGTCTCTTGTGGCTAATCTCAAGCAAATGTAACATTAGAACTTTCGACAGGACTGGAAATAACAGGTATGATAAAGTTATTTTTTGGCAACGATATCTTTTGGTCCGACTCGGACTATACCAAAATGTATAGAGCAACGGGATGTCCGAGACTAGGGCTGGACAAAACTCCCAAACCGAACCGACCAATAGGTTCTTCATAAGTTAAATACCCAAACGGGTATCTGAATCGAGAACCGACGTGTTCCGTTCGGTTCGGTTCTCGGTTTCAGACCCGGAACCGAAGAACCGAATTTAAATAAAGACGAGTTCAGTTCTGTTCTCGGTTCTCGACTCAGAACCGAATAAGATCCGAATTTAAATAATTGTTTTAATTTTTTATATTGAATTAATTAATTTTTTTATTTTTTTCTAAACAAATTAGCAAATTAACTAATTTTGTGTCTTGTTACGTGCTTCTTTGTACCAATTTTCGAAACATGTAAAGAATTTGTTTTTGGATCATTCATTTGAAAATAATCTATTTAACTGGATATCAAATTTAAATGAAGGTTTTGTTTTCAATAGAAGCAAAATTGTTTCCTTGTCAAGGCACATTCGAGCAACCAATGTTACACTTATTAGTTTCTGCAGGCCAATCTATCATTCTAGGGTATCAAGCTCATGTGGATTCCGTGATAGTTTTTACGAGGGTCGCTTTTTGGAGTTCTCTATCACTACTTGGTTGAAGTGAAAGATCGTATCCCTTAGTATGATCATATTCTTGGGGATGATTTGTAGATTCGATTGTTGTCATGATTTCATTATTTGATCCGAAAAAGACCGTCCTCGACTAAGAAGTTGCAGTGCATCTTTTTGGAGCTGGATTCTCTCAACCAAGGAAAAATGATGGAAAACGTATTAGATCATTATATGACTACTTTCCTGTTTAGATTCTTATTTAGGAAAAATTATTAGGGTTTATTTACTACATTTCATATGATTCCATTAAATGTTTTCTACTTAGAATATGTTTATTTACTAGATTTCCTAGTATTTTATTAGATGTTTCCTAATTAGAATAGGTTGTTTGAAACCCTATATAAAGGTGACTTATGCATTGTAGTACTTAGACTTCAATAATGAGTTAAATTGATAATTTCTCCCTCTAAATTCTCTTTATTATCTCCCTCTTCTTCTAGTCTCTCTTCCTCGTCTTTTCTCAATATTGTTCTTGTATCTTTGCATTCTATGTCAATCACATTAAATCTTTTTTAATACAAGGAACCATGAACTGAACAGAGCCAAGCAAACGGCTTTATATAGACAAACTCCAGATTTCCTGGAAATAAGATTTAGTTTGTTGTTGGGTGGTGTTTCGAGAAATTATTTTATTTCATGCAACAAGAGATTGAATTCCCAAATTCTTATTTGCATTTACTTTCGTAGGTGCTATTGGGAAATCTGCACTTTGGACAGAATAAATGACACTTTAATTGGCCTCAAGTCAAACGCAAAGATAGCAGATGAAATTAAGGGCTTACTTGATCATCTAATCATGTAATGGCCAAGTTCAGTCTTCAAATAAATGACAGGTAAAAATAAGACCTAATGCAGACCAGTGTTTTACACTCTAATATATGTACTTGATGGCAATCAACTAAAATGCATAAATCACGGAAGAATACCTTAAAAATAGAGCAGTGACCCCAAAAACAGAAGGTAAAAGAGGAGTTGCCAAGGCCAGAAATGCTGCCCCTAATCCGTAATACCATGTAGCAACATCACAAGAAGACATCTGTCGGAAATGACCTAAAATACAAACAGATTATGAATAAAACTTCCATTCAAAGATAACAAGAACGGTAAGTCAGTACTTCTTCTAATGCATGTACCTTTTTCAGAATAATATTCAACAGATTCAGAATGTGGGGAAAGGGATGCTGATTGATTGGCAACAAGCTTTCCCCATCGATAGACTATCTGCAGATAACTTCCAACCAATAAGAAGAAAATTGTGAAGGTCCACTCGTACACAAGGAGAAAACCAGTCCATGGCATTACTTGCCGAGGGACAATTAACAGAGAAAGCACAAGGGACAGCACAGCAGCCATAAAACACACAACAACTGACGTTGCACCCAGAAAAATAGGCACTTTGCTGTACGCCAAGTTTGGGAACTGTATCAGTAGAACATCGTGTGAAAATATATCAGAAAAATATGAAAAAGATGCTTATCATATTATTTGTAAATCAAAAAGTATAACAAGTAGATAAAGCCATGGCAAAACACATAAAAATGGATGTTAAATTTTTTGTGAAAAATGTATTTTGGAATGGTGATTTTTTGGATAATGTGTGGTTAAAAAATTTGGGAGTACGTGTAATATTATTTTGTGAAAAAATAAGTGGTTGAAAAGAAGAAAGAGAAAAATGGAGCCCAAACAGGGGCTAAGACAGAATAGAGATTGGTGACCTCCCAAATCTTATACATAAAAGAAAGAGGGAAAAGAAAATAAAATGCAGATATGAAATCAGGATAATTATGCTCCTGTTTTAACGTGCTGAAACGTGATTTATGTGAAAAACTAGAAGAATAGACAAACCTGCCCGTTAGAGTTGATATTAGAAGAAGTGACTGAGGAATAACCAAGGACACCTCCAGACCTCAACTTGTAGTAGAGGTGTCTAATATGATCAAGCAGTGATCTTGTCTGTAATACAATTAAAATTTCAGACAGGCAATAAAGACAATGTTGACGAACATTTTGATTAAGAGAGAATTTTAAATTTGCTAACCTGTAGAAAAGACCGATAGTAACAGAAAGCAAAGAACAGAAACGGAAGTAGAAAAAGTGATATAACTAGGAATTTGTCATTTGGATTTTTGCCACCTCCAGTTCCAGGAAGAGTCTCTTCAAGTTTTATTCTAACATCCTGCAGTTTTATCAATCATAAGAAAGTCATACAATGGGGTGGGAATGCAAAACTCAGCCATGTAAAAATCAATTTGGTGGTTTACAGTAGGAAAACAGCATGCCAGCTTGCCCCTTCAACCCAAAAACACATCCACAACAATATGCTTGTCAACATATAAAACAGCAGAGGAATTAGAAGAAATGGATATCTAGGGTACTTGCTCAAAAGGAATATAACAACTTTGGGTGATGCATTGTAGAAGACGAGGAGGAAATACAAATGACAAGCAGACAGAAATAAAAGGTAGAAAACTAAACTTTAGACAATGGAATGAGGAAATGATATACCTGCCAGACATCAACAGGTTTAACAAGCCAAGATGTCCACCAATCCCATGGTTTAAGAGGTCCAAGCGTGTAATGAATAACACGGAGTTCTTCCTCATCCACCATCCACTGCAAATAGTACCACAAGGAATCAAAATATGGAAAAGAACATAGAGTTTACAACATTTCAAGGAAGACTCTTGCATGTGAAGCATTCCTCTTAAATATAATTATAAGAATATGTTCCTCCCAGATTAAAACTACTAAATTATTCAGAATCTTGGCCATTCCAAGAGGACCAACCAAGGGTCTTCTTTTCTTTAAACAAGTAATCCCTCCTTACTCAAAGAATCTGCATGTTTGACTCACCACAGACATGCAAAATTTTATATCGCTTCTCCAATCTAAACTCTTAATGGAGGTAGTTACTATGACATTTATAGCCTTAGTGCAGTAAAATTTCCACCCACTTGATTTAATGAAGATCTAATGGGAATTTAACCTCCTCGGAGAGGACTAGTACCCCCACGAGTGGATCCATTTTTGACCAAAGAACAGCATGTGAGATCAAGTTGATATGCCAATAGCATCCATAAGCCCCCCAAAATTCTCTCTCTTTCTCTCCCTTGGCTGCCGCTTTTACATTGTATGCTTGCCAGCATACAAAACCCCTGTTTGACACCCATTTTGGAGAAAAAATAAATTCTGGAATAGTGATCGATAGAAAAATGTGTGGTTAAAAAGTAATGAGAATTTTTGGGTTTATGTATAGTATTATTTTATTGATAGAATGTGTGGTTGAGATAAAGAAGGAGAAAAAAAATAAGAAAGAGAATGAAAAATAAATGGGTGTCAAACAGGGGCAAAATACTGTGTTTATAAGTAATCACATGATGTTCTCTTGTTTATTTATTCTCCAACACACCCTTTTGTTTCCAACTAGATCTGCTTAGTAGATCTGTTCATGGTTAACTTTCCTTAAATGATACGTATCCATGACTCCAAGATGAACGTTCCGTATGTTAAAATGTTCAAAAATCTAGGAACTTATGGGAATTTCATTCTTGAAAGTGATCAGGAATCTTGATGCACTTTCTAGTTGAACTTTTGGAAAATTGACAACTTATGTATTTTGTGCTTTAAATTCTGACAGGAAGTAAAATATCTCTAGCTTAATGTGATAAATGCACATAAATGACTGTTGACATATATACAGGAGCAGAGACTATTGCTTAAATTATTACTATATGAGCTCCCAGCAAAACCAATTATGTACATTCTCAGCTCTTGAAGTGCTCACTTTATTCTAATCTCCAATGATTAAGGAACGATCCCCTCTAAAAAAAAGTGAAAATAAATAAAGAAGCATACACGCGTTCATTGGATGTACAGGAAAGGCACCCCCTCCATAAGCAAAGCTACCTTGATGAGCAGCTTTTGGAGTACATTTACTTAATGACTATAAATTGTGCAACCGAACAAAGATCAATTCTCATTAGAAGTGAGGGATGTCACCTTGTTAGCTAGCATGTAAAGGCCAACATCTGCATTATATAAAGTGGAAAGTCTCTCCATTTGGGGAGCAGGTCTAGACTTCAAATCCTCTGGAGATGCTTCTGGCTCAAAAAGGTGTGCATTGGCAAAATCAGAGTAATATGAGTTGAGAAACCCTTGGTCACCTGTTAGAGCCACGAGGAAAAGTGAGAGACTTGGTATGGAAAAGAAAAACTCACAAATACAATAATACATCTTAACTTTTTAACAGTTTTTTTTCTTGCTTCCAGTTATAGCTTGAATACTTTAATTTAGCATCAGCTTCTATGTACGTATTATAAAATAGTCGGCATACCAGTCCCGTTTTGCATCCCATGTCCATATATGCTACATTTATTGTGAAATGAAGTAATCTTGAAACGTCTCAACATAAAATCATGCCTCGAAAATACTTTGACCACAGTAGAAGGTCCTATGCTAAGTAGTAATTCAATGTCTAGACAACTACACAATATCCATTGTCCAATACTACAACAAGAAATTCTTCATTTCAAGTACAAAATGGACGGTTAATAATTACTATGGCTTCCATCCCATTTACTCCTCAATTTGTTTCAAAACTTAGTCAAACCGTCATTTTTTTTAGACAATATACTCCATTGATTTATTACAGTTGTGATATTATACAACTTTCAAATTTGTTTATTTGTATTAATACTCTTCAAGATTTATGAGTATCATGTCCTTATTTAGCATTAAAAAACCATTGGCAATGGACAATAACAGTGTACTACACCTCCAGTGTAAGAATGCAAAGTGGTCACTTTGGTCATCATGTCATTGAAAAGTTCTGCAGATGGTTCAACCACCATGACTCCAGAATTCAGCCTTTCTGAATGTTTTAAGTTGGCACAAAATTTTCGACATTTGAAAAGATCTTCAATGCTCTTAACCACAACAGTATCAGCATCAAGATATACCACTGTCAAAATTTAAAGAAATAAATGAGAAGATTAGCAACAGCCCACTAAGACATATAAATTAAATAAGTGAACTTCGATAGAACATATCATGGGGAATTCACTCCATCATGTTTTGTAAGCCAAAAAGAATGTCATTTAAATTTTCACTCCAACAAGTTTCCTTCTTCATAGTTCATATTTTGCAAACAGATTTAAGAAGAGAATTACCTTTCTTGTAATCAGTCATGTTAAATATTTTGAGCTTTGTGTAGACACCCCAAAACCTCGTCGGGCGAACTTGATTAGGATTCTTCAGTAAACTAATTGTATTCACAATCCAACCATCAGCCTGCATAAAAGAAACCAGAAACCTCACGTGAAATCAATAAACAGAGAAAGCAATACTTTCATGAGGAATCTTAGAATCAATATTCAACAGCTGAACCAACTATTCTACTAACCTAAAATAATAATCAAGGCAGTGGAGTCTATAAGTTTTGAACCTTGAAATAAAAGAATTTACTCAGTGACTAGTTTCTTTAAGTAACAATAAAGCTTAAAAGAAAATCTCAGGCTTCTTAGATGGAAAAAATACAACTTAGATGAGTGGGATAGTATCTTATTCGGTCCCTACTCCGCACCCAACCCTTTTTCCACAAAAAACCTACACTGTCCTGTTCAATTCTAAATTTAAATTTATCAATTTTAATCAACAAGGAAAGAACTTATATCACCCCACTCTTGTCTGTTAAGGCAACCACCTTGACCTCGGGGTAGTTGAAACTAAATAATATGAGTAATTTGAATGAAGTTTAATTTGTGCAGTCGAATCCACAACATTATAAATCACAATTAAATGCAATTCAGGATTTCCAGAATTTTGGACTATAAGCTCCTAATTCCATCCAACATATAAAAAAAATCAATAATTCCCCAATCCCAATTCAAAAGCAACAAATTTTCCAGCACCATAAATATCTTAGAACTGACTAAAAACTCTAAACAGAGTTAAAAAAAAAAAAGAAGGAATTGCTTTCAACATTAATAGGGAAGAAAAAAAGCTAAAAAGATGACCTGAAGTAGTTTTTTGGCATAGCTGGAGACCCCATCAGATACCAAAGCAACCATGTCTTTGGTAGAACCCGTGTCGCGAATCGATTTACCCAGGACTCGCACGCCCAGCAAGAATTCATCGCCATACAGAAGCGTCACGTACGCTTCTTTTGAATTCCGAGATCCCAACGTCGCTCCAACGAAACTACAAAGCGTAATCATCAATAGTAATAACGATAAACTAAATCCCAATTTCGGCATACTCGAGTTAGATTTTATATAATTAATATGGATTTAGTACAAATTTTGATTTCCCAAAAAAGGAGATTGAAGATCTGAGAGAAGTGTTTGAATTTAGAGAAATAATTCAAATTGAGTCTTCTATGATTCTTCTACTCATATCATATATTGTGAATTGTGAATATATTCACTCCTGGTCTGGTCTTCCTTGTCGTCTCCGAGTTGTGCAGTGTTTCGAAGTAGGCAATATTTGTCAACTTTCAGGTTTGACATTTCTTTGTTTGGTTAAAGGATTTTTTTTTTTACAAAATTTTTGATTTTAATAAAAGTTGATGAAATGTATAGTTGAAAAGTCGATAAAAGTTGTTAATTCCAAAAAGATATGTGATTAAAATTAATTATGTAACTCAACTTTTTAAACTTTTCCAAAGCAAATTTTAATGGAATAATATATTTTTTTAAGGAAGTTGAAATACAGAATAATGTTATCTAATACCAATCTTGATACGTACAATTAAATAGATATTTTGACTTTGTATTTAAATGAACATATCATTTAACAACATCTAATTGTCACCTAAATCGATACTAAGCCCAGTAATGCTAAAGAGCGTTACTTTAAAATAAATAAGTGATTCGCTTTATGGGAACCTTCTTGGGTGTTTAAGGAAGTCTTCAAACGTCACATAATCCCGATGTTTGTTTGTTTGTTTGAGCCCTTTTTTTGGGTTGGGTTGGGGGATATGTTTTGAAATAATAATTTTTTGGAAAATGTATGGTTAAAAGATGGGAAAAATTTTGGGTTTACATGTAAAATTATTTTATGAAGAAATGTGCGATTGAAAATGAGTTTCGAAAAAAATAAAGCACAAACATGTTTGTTCTTTGTTATAGTCTGTTATTGTTTTCAATAAATGAATGAAAAATATTTTTGAGTAATGATTGTTTACCTGCACTTGAGTCCATTAACTAATTAATAGAGTTTAGGTACAATTTGATTTCTAAAATACATGTTTTTTTTTCTTTTTTATCTTTATCTGCCTTGAATGCAAGAAATTATATTGAGCTCATGTTTCAGACTCATTTTTCTTAAATTCATTCGCAATCACACGTTCTTCCAATAAAATAATTCTACACGTAAATTCAATTTTTTATTTTTTGTTTTAACAAGGTATACTCAAAAATTCTATCCTCCCATAAAATGGGGATCAAACCAACCAAGTGCGAAGAGTCCAAGTTCAAAACAATTAAACTGGCTTTAAGACTCAAGTGATGCCGAGTTTAGGCATCCACAAATAGTCAAATTATCAAAATTCAAAGTAGTCCCATTATAGACTTGAATTGTGTGAAGCTTGATTTCGATATACAATGATATTTAAATGTTGGCGTGTTGGAAAGTGAACTCAGGACACACCAATGATGTAAGATACCACTACTCTTGAAAATTTTCTTCGTGTGAGTTATGAGTAGCACACTTCAAACTTTACCATAATTTTATTCCCTTTTCTTCTTGAACAAATATGGAGAAAAGTTCATTCTTGAGCGACTTCTTATTCCATATCATTTTGTCTCGACGATGAAAATTATCTTATTGACTAACTTGGGTAAAAATGTAAAACGAGTCTGGTAAAACCATCATATCTTAATATTTTTTTCTATTTCTGTTACCGATAACTGAGATGGTAACAAAATGGCTCTCAAAAAGTTTAGTGCTTTCAATAGAACAACTAGAGTTTACTTAAACCACATGGTTTAAAAAACGAACTCCCTTATGTGCAGATTATCACTACAAGGAACATGGTTTTTGAGACGGGCTTAACGCATTGCCTTAGGGTTTTAGCAACATACACATGTATGTTGCGAACTTCGACATTGCCGTAAAGTAGATGGATATGGTAATACTAAATGTTCATTACTAAAAATTGAAAGCACTTTTTTTTTTTAATATTTTAGCAACGTGCATATGTACTAATATCTTTTACAAATGGTCGGTCCTAAAATTTTGGATGCCCTGTGCGACATTTTAAAATGGCGTCCCTTTCATGAAATTAAAAAATATATATTTCAATAACATTATATTATCGCAAAATTATGATATTTAAATACTATTTATTTTTTGAAATATCGTGATTAAAAAAAGTACAAGTAAAGTTCAAAAGCACCTCACAAGTTTTATCAAAATTCATGTCATCAACAAAGAACCATCCAAACCCCTAAACTTTTGTGTGCAATTCCATATGAGAAAATCTTGAAATTAGAAACATCAAATACCACGTGTAAACTTTGAAATACAACAAATTGTGTAAAAATGTTTATTCTCACGTTTCTAGAAACAAATTAACTAATGAAACTTTCGTTTCTAACAAATCTTGTTCAATAGATATCAAAGTTATGTCATTCAATTGTTCTTATAACATGGTTGATTGTAAATAATATTTTAATAACTTCAATTTTGAAAAATTTCTTTCGACATATGTAATAATAGCATTAATTGTCAGTAATACTTTATAAGTAATAAATGTAATATTTTCAAATAAATCAATATATCAAAAGTTGTATTAGTTTCTTTTGGTATTTCAAATAAGTTAATATATCAAAAACTGTCTTTATTTCTTTTTGTAAAAGATTTGTAAAATTTTTAACTCTTGAAGTATATCTTTGCCATCAAAAACGCAAAAAATTAAACGTCTTAGAACAATATCAAGACAATCACAACATGCTTTCAAATCAATATCATCCAATGCGTTTAACTTATCAAAAGAAAATAGAAATCCAAATTTTTTCATATGAATTGAATTGATCGAACCTTCACTCAAGTGATTTAATTGCTTGATCTGCTATATAAATGAAAGAATTAGTTATGAAAGAATTTTCAAGTGATTGTACGCCCTCTACAATGACATTTTCATCAAAATGTTTCTTCCTACAAATTATACTTTTTTCCTCCTTCCCTTTTCATTGAAATTATTTAAAGCATGATACTATTTAAGAAAATTATAACTAGTTAATTACATTATTCATAGCTTTATGATTTTATGCAATTGCATATCATACCAAGTTAAATGCATACAATTAATAAAGAAATAATCCACACATGAAAATAGTTAAACACAACACACTGAAATTAACTATGAA